TTGGGAGAAGAAGGATTCAGGTAGCAGAGCCAGATGCAAATGCCAGAAACCACAGCATCAACAGTGTGTGTGAACCCAGCAGTGATGCAGTTGAAAGAAACAGTGACAAACAGTTGCCCTTATTTGAGAGTAGCATCAAACAGCTGCTTATGTTTTCTGTGTTCTGACAGGTACCACCGTGGAGATGTCCACCCAGGTGTTTGCCTGCTCCGACTGTCCATTCTTCCACATGCAGGAGTCCTACCTGCTGCAGCACATAGAGCACAGTCACCCTGAGCAGTACAGCAAACTGCAGAGGGCTGCAGAGGCAACTCAGGCGCCCAAGAAGAAGCCCCAGCGTCCCGACTTCCCGCAGCCCTTCCCCATCCACGACAGGCCCGACCCTCACATGTGCCAGGAGTGCGGCAAAACATTCACCCGTGCCTCAGACGTGACTCGTCACCAGCGCACCCACACAGGCGAGCGGCCCTACACCTGTGAGGAATGTCAGAAGGGCTTCAAGAACTCCTGGGATCTGACCAGACATCAGCGCATTCACACCGGAGAGCGTCCCTTCCTTTGCTCCCAGTGTGGAAAACGCTTCACTCAGATGGGGTTACTCAAGCTGCATTACGAACGAACCGCCTGCGGCCAGACGTGCAACCCTCCTCTGGAGTTAACAACAGAGGTGGTGGTGGCAGAAGAGACTTTAGAGAAAAGTGATGGTCAGTACAAATGCCAAAAATGTGGCGAGAGCTTCAGCAGCATCCTGGACCGACTCAGGCACAGACAGAAACATGTGGTGAGACGTCAGTACAAATGCTCCCTGTGTGAGAAGATCTACAGCCGAGCGTCGGACCTCAAGAGACACCAGATGAAACACACAGGTGAGCGGCCGTTTGCGTGTGAGTGTGGGAAAAGCTTCACGCATGTTTGGCTGCTGAATAAGCACCGACAGATCCACACCAGAGAGCGTCCGTACCCCTGCACAGAGTGCGGAAAGAGCTTCATGCAGATCCAGATCCTGAACAGACACCAGCTGACTCACAACGGCCAGCGGCCTTACCAGTGCTCGTACTGCGAGAAGAGCTTCACCCAGCTGGCCAGCCTCACTCGCCACGAGAGGATCCACACAGGAGAGAGGCCGTTCGTCTGCAGCACCTGCGAGAAGACCTTCCTCACCCACGGAGAGCTGGTGAGACACCAGCGCAGCCACAGCAACTTCCGTCCCTACAGCTGCCCTCAGTGCCCCAAGAGCTTCAAAACCAAGCGCGCTCAGAGCGAACATCTCAACACCCACACAGGGGAGCGTCCGTTCGCGTGCACCCGCTGTGGGAAGAGATTCGCCAAGTCAACCTCACTGGTCCGCCATAATCTCACTCACACAGGGGAGCGACCCCACCAGTGCTCCCAGTGTGGAAAGACTTTCCTCACATCTGGTGAGCTGCTCCTCCACAGACGCATCCACACAGGAGAGAGACCGTATCCCTGCTCCTACTGCGAAAGGAGGTTCAGGTGTTCCTCAGACCTCAACATGCACGTCCGAACTCATACCGGGGAGAAACCACACAGCTGTTTGTTCTGTAAGAAGGGCTTCTCTACGTCCACGAGGCTAAAGAGACACATGCGTATACACATGGACAAAGGCGTAGGCATGGAGTCATTAAGTCTGTGAACTGTCAGGAGCTCGTCATGTATTTATTCACACTGTTGCCATTAAAAACGAAATCAGTTTGATCATTTCAGTTCTTTTTTTTTACTGTAGGGATGCTGTTACATGAAATGCACCTTTGGAAAAGTATATTCCTGTCTGCTTTGCAAAGATTGGAATGACTGTTTGGCTTTGGTTGACAAATACAATCAAGATACTCAAGTGTACTTACAGTGTATAATATTAGCCACGGCTTTAGGTTAAGGCAGCTTACAACAAATGCATTAAATCTCTACAGGACAAAAGAGAAAGTAGACCTCCTCCAGTGAAGTGTTTCACCTTGTTAACATGTCCACTCTGTGTTTATTTGTTGTTGTTGTTGTTGTTTTTATATGGTGAAATACACATAATTGGTGAAAACAGGAGTCAATTCCATAACTGAGCATTTCCAACTTGAGTCCTGATGACAGTCTCAGAAACACAGCTTCCGCTGTTTCATACGTTAAATCTCAAGGAACCAATCTTGTCAGCTTGCGGTGTGACTTTCTGTATCATTGTTCTTCATCAAAAGACGTCTGGCTTCAGTACTCCAACATGACAACTTGCCATTTTGTAGTGTAGAGGAGTTTTTCAGTGTTTGAGCAGAGTTGCAGGCGAGCTGGTGTGCTTGAGCTGCTTCCAGAAGTGCATGGACAGAGAGGAAGAAAGTTATTAAGTCACTTTACGTTCAAAGGGGGATATTTTAAATGGAAAAAAAACTTCTAAATATATCACCTTGATCCAGATATATGAGTTTTTGGGAGGTAAATCAACAACTTGAGGGGGGAAAAAAGCATTTTCTTCGAAATTATGATTGTTTGGATACTTTTCAGGTCATAAAGAAACAAAATTATCCAGTATTTCAAACAATAGTTTGCTCCAATAAATAACAAAGAAACTAAAGGAGAAAGGTGTGTAGTTTTGTGGGCTTTGCCCCTTTAGCTGTCTTGTAACCCCTCAGATTTTTATTTTTTTTGCTCTGGTACGAAGAGCCAGCTTTATTTTATAGTTATTTAAAATTGGTAAACCCAATCTAGGATTGTGTGGAGAACCAGAGAGTTACAAGGTTAGAAGGATGTTGATCCTACTTGTAGCACAATCCAGGACTTGGCTTTAGTTGTTAAAGGGATACCTGACTGAAAATCTATTTGTACTGATTTTATTTTATTTTGTTTTTAATGTAACGGGGACAAAGGGAAGGAGACTGGGGGTAAATAACATTAAGGAGCACAGGCAGGACGTGTGAAGAGATTAAGGATCAAAGAGCAAATAGAGGAGGTGGAGAACCCTGGAGGACAGAGGAGAGCAATGGGAGAGTTCAGAAGTCAAAGAGCAGGACAAAGCAGAGAGGTACAGGAAGGACAATGGGAGCTCCAGAGAGACACAGGAGCAGAAGAGAGGCCAAACTGTCCACAGAGGAGCCACAGAAAATGAAGATTTACAAAAGACACAGAAGCAGAGAAGGTAGAGTAGAAAGTGAATTCTTTGGGTTAGTAAAGGCTGAACAAAAGCAACGCATAGCCAATGAGGAAGACAGTAAGGCAAAGACAACACAAAGGAGCAGAAACAAAGTGATCCAAAGGCAGAAGAAGAAAGAGCAACAGGCTATCGGTGCAGGGGGGTCACAAAGATTTGTGAAGAAGGCAAAGAAGGAGAGACATTTTGAAGAAGGTTCCAGCGGTCAGCCGCTAGAGTTGGATGAAGACTACTCAGATGTCCAAGGTGAACTTTTACTACATTCCTTGTTTACTTTAACTGTTAATAGCTCATACAGTGACTCATCCATGATTCATTCATTCATGTAAAGCTGGAAACAGTGAGTCACGCTCAAGTTTAAAGTGCAGCGTCACTGTAGATTAACGATTAGGTACATGATTTTGCATTCAAGTAAAAAAAAAAAAGGAAAAGGAGTAAAGTACAAAAGCAGGATGTTAGTAATCCACTCAAGACTCACAGTAACTACTGAAGAGCACATTGTCTCCAGCTCCATTATGACGGCTCCGATCTTTTGTCTCATCAAATAGCATTATCAGACAGTCGGTGGTGGGGTCAGTCACAGGTTATCAGAGTTCAGGCACAGTACAGAAAAAAGGCTTGACTTTGAAAAGTTTGCACTTTCTTTTGCTATCACTCAGTCATTCTGTGACACCCAGGGCTCAGTTCAAAAAGTTCCATCTGGATCTGAATGATCCAAATTTGAAAATCCCACATTTCACTATCTAGGATCAGGTAATCTATTTTACTTTTGTGCCATTTTTCATAGTAATATTGCATTCAGTTACAGTGATCAACATTATCAGTGCTCTAAATAGGACCACACAGCACAGCGTAGAACAACAGGTAGAATTTGCAGACTGAGGTCACTTTAAGTGACGACATGCTGGCTGAATTCAACCTTCTGCTCACATCAGGGCAACCCTGTGTTTTTTGAGGGGATTTTTTGGATCACAAGTAGTAGTTCTGAACAGCACTCCAAAGATTTGATCAAGCAAAACCAAGCCTGGATTATGTGGTCTAATCAGATTACAGAATCCCTCATTTCTTTTGAGCAACTAATTTTCAAGGTATTCAATTCAATAGTCAAAATCCAATCACATTTTCTTTTAAACAATTGGACCCTGAAGTCCAGACCTTTAAGTAGGCGACCACATCTATGTTTCATTTAATTGGGAGATAAAATACGCAGGTTTTCATTTTGGTAGAACGTATTTACTTCTTCATACAAGTCGTTCTGGTTTTATTTGGCTGCGTTTGCTGATGTTATGGTTTATATACGTCATTTAACGTGGCAATACATTACATTTGCTGTGCTATTAGAGGACTCTAATAGTTTACAAAGTTTCTAAAGTCTGCAAAATGAAATTGTAGAATTGTAAAGGCTCTGTCTTGGCCTCGCCACAGATGCTGAATATCTTGATAGTTGTATTGGTATTTCACATTCAGAGTAAAACCACAATCGCTGTATGACTGTATGTCCATTACCCCAACTTACAATATTAGCAGTATTATTATTATTATTATTAGAATTATTGTTATTATCCAGTAGTGTTCATGGTAGAATTTCTCTTCAGTCAAAATATTTAATGCATGAAAGTGTAAAAGGGGTTAAAAGATTTAAAAACAAACAAACAAACAAAAAAAAACAACAACTGTTGGCTCTTAAGAATATTATTATCATTTAAATTTAAAAAATCCGAGCATTAAGACAGAGCGGGGTTACCACGCGGTCATCACATGTAACGTCATTATGAGACGTTTGAATGTTGAAGTTCCCTCCCAGTTTCCCGCCGGACCACTTATACGCAGGGACTTCCTGTCCCACCCACATTCTCGTGTCGCTTCCGGGTGGTGCTGAAGCAGCAGCGAGCCGACGTTACCTCAACGCTGTAAACAAAGTTAGTCAACGGTTTAACTTCAACGACACATTCAGCGAAAAGACATGCATATCAAAACAGGTGAGTTTGGGAAGCCTTTCGACGTATCTGACAGAAATATTTCACTTTCAGGCGCGTTATTTTGTTATCTTGCCGCCGTGCTAGCAGCGGTGCTAGCGGTATCGATAGCTGCCTGCTCGCCGCTTTGAATGGGGGTGAAGGAGGGAGGGTGGGGGTTACGAAACTTTGACTTCGGCTAGCATGCTAGCTAGCTCTTAATTTCTGTATGTGGTTATAATAAAGCCATCCATTCGACGATAATATAATTGTAGGGACACTGTTAAAGTGAATCGACCGTACTGTAACCTCAGATGAACAGAACCGTCGAGTGGAACTCAGCGCACCATGACGCTGCTAATTAAAGTTTGCTAACACCGGTGTTCGCTGTTAGCTTTGACTCTCTGGATAGCTGGCTGCGCCGCATACACGAAGCATAACGTGTTGTTCAAACCGAAGATGAGCTAAAAAACCAGCCAAGTTACTCTTAAAGTCGGACTCTGGGTATTCTGTGGAGTCAGTTAGTTTCTTTAAATTTCTGCCACGGTGTGTGTGGCGGGTCTCCGGTTTTGTAAACTGCTTTGCCAGTGCTTTTGAAATGTGGCGCTTAGGAGCGCGCACGTTACTCGGGCCGATTGTCTACCTAAATTTCTAACAATGCTAGGAGTGCCACCGATTCTGCATTTCCACTTCACGTCTCTGGAAATAATCAGCAGTTATGCCTGGATCCGCCTGCCTTCTCCCGTGTCGACCAAAAATGGCTCTCTGGCAGCCACAGTAAGTGATCGTTCCTGTAAACACTCGGTTTCGCGATCATTGTGTCTCATAATCAACCAGCAAGTGGGACAACACGGTACATGTCGTTGTGCAACTTTGGTTTAAAATTGGCAACGGGGAGATTTACAGTGAGTATGGGGAGCTGTGTAGCCAGTAAAAGACTCGGAGATAGTCGAGACTGTAAACTAAGTACAGGGTTTCAGCTGATTTTATATATTATATTATAAATCCGATTGCAGTAATTGATGATCTGGTATAAAAAATATCCGGTAGTTCTGGAGTTCTCAATTGGATGAAAATATCTCATTGGGAGTTTTCTGACAGATATTGAGATTTTGTTTGTGTAAAGCTTCATTTCAGTATCCATTGTGTAATATCTGTGAAGCATGATCGAGCATTACGAAATGAAATACTATCAAAAGGGGACTCTGGAACAAGGGGGGTGATATGGATTTGTAAATGTCAGCCATGACAGTTTAATGCAAACTGATGAGGTGTGGCTGTTTAATAGTGAGCCTGGGCTTATGTCAGTCGACCACGTACTATATATTGATAAATGGGCAGCTTTAGCAACTAAAAGTTTCCATTTGCTCGAATTACATAAAATTGAATTACAGCTTTATTCCCATTATTTAATAGCCACACTTCACGCATCATAAATTGCAGCTGTTGCAAGTTTGTAATTGCCTTGTCTCAAACATGTTTTGTTGATGGGGTTTGGAACAAAACCAGAGAAAATGGAGGCAAAGGTCAGAGCCACACATTAAAGAAGTTGGAGACAAAGACTATTTGGCATTTTTAGCTTGATATATGAGATAATTGCTTTTAAAAGTATTGCCGACTGTCTGATTATTCGCCAGAGGTCTCAGCATTGCTGATATCCACACACTCATTCAACATTCTGGGCCGGCAGCAGAGCACACACACACACACACACACACACGTCATGAGACGTTCCACCCCGCCTGTTCCATCCGCTTCATTCAGGATCACGTCATTTTGTTCTTTTCTGCACAACTTGGCAAATAGGCAGCAATACAGGGAGCTGTTGTTCAGCCGAAACTCTACTGGCACAGTGAAGTCACATGAAAATGTGTCATCCATTCCTGATGTTTGTTTACATGGAACAGCTAACTAAGATCCTTTATGGATGGATGCCAAAAGATAAATCTTGTAGTGTGAAGCACCTGTTTGGATATACATAATGTGCTTAGCACTGTGTTGGCAAGAAACTAATCCGGCACTAATGCTGGTTGGGGGTGAGGCAGTGATTTGGTGATTTTTACAGCTGAAGATGGTGTCTTGAGAATCAGTGAGACTTGGTAGAGAAATCACCAAGGAGTGAAACTTGCTGTTATGTGTGATGTACACTGTGGATATCAGTATATTGAAACAGCAGCTGTCTGACCAACATGTCAACACTTCTCTTTCAGGTACATGGGAAGCCAGCAACACTGTGTGTGAGTCAGATACCCTGTGTGACCCAGCAGTCCTCGTTTCAGCCACTAACTCTGAGCCTCATATTCGTAACCGCCGTCTGTCTCCTGGATCAGGAAACTGTGGAGGTGGTGGGGGTGGAGGCTGCATTTCTGGAAGTGACCAGCAGCCCCAGCAGCTTTCACCTGAGGGCGACCTCATCGGCCCCGGCCACGCACACACCTTCAGCTTCCGCAGGGAAAAAGAACGCAAGGGCCAGCAGCACAAAGGCCGTAGCCTCCGCAGGGAAAGTCAAAAGGGGGTGACCCGAGTAGGGGAGCGACCACAAAAGGGGAACCAAAAGGAGAGGTGGGTGGAGGACAGTCTGTCGCTGCTCAAGCCCCCACCTGCCTTCCCAGTGCAGGACAGCCCCGCCAAGCTGCAGCCCGCCGTTAGCTACGCCTCCAAGGTGAAGGCGGGAGCCGCAAGCGGAGCGCTGGAGGAGGACCGCCCTGCCATCGGTGTTCTGCTACAGAACCAGTGGGGTCTAAGTTTCATCAGCGAGGCGAGGCCGGTCACGGAGGGCTCCAGCCCTCGCCCTGCTGCTAACGCCCTCCTGCCCACAGACGCTAAACATCCAGCTGATCTACAGCTCGACACAGTTCTCACAGTCCAGGCCCCCGAAGAAACGCCCATCCCAGTCGCTGCCTCCGTCACCCCAGTCACACGTGCAGAGGTGGACGAGAGCAACGGGAAGCTGCTGCTTAGCTGTCGCCATTTAGTGGAGGCTCTGAGCTATCACAGTAGAGGTGAGTGCTGCTGGGAGAACTGGAGATGTCTGGGCAGATTTCTTTGACATGTGAATATCAGAATTGCAGTACATAATCTCTGTTTGTCTTTGTTTTTCTCCACAGAATGGAATTTTATTTGCAACAAACAGAAAAAAGGTGAGTTGACTCAAAAAGTAAACTGATAACATGACATCTGTTTTTAGAAACATGACCAGTACATGCAGGGCTTCAGAATCTAGAGTAGTCAGTTAGATGTACAGACAGATGATCATGTTGCTCTGTCCCTCTCATTGTTAAAGCAGAGGCTTGGTGCTCCTAAAATATACACACATAGTGAAGAGTATCTTGTTAGTCAAAACTATTACATTAGAATCAAACATTAGGACAATAAAGTCGCCACTAGACGTAAACAAGAAGTCACAGTTTGGTCGGTGTCAAAGTATTGGGTGATGTTCTTCTATGTGAAGCTGCTGTTACACTGGTGGTGTAGACTGTAGATGACAGAACAGATGATTGTTTACAACACCATCAGTCGGTAAACTGTTTAATGTCCATTACTGACACTCAGCGTGAGTGGAGATGGTGTTAAGCAGCAGAACAGTGTGATTGTCTACACTCAGTTTAACTGGTGATACATCATCAATCTGACAGGGAGAGACAGAAAACACTGAGCAGCGTTGTTAGGCTGTATTCAAAGATTACCGCCACGAAACGGAGGGATCCAAGTTCAATGTGTAACCAACACGTTTGGAGGAAAACAAGCATATAGAAATACTTAACAGCATTCCTGCCTTCACCACAGCGGTATGCTCTCTGCCTGGAGAACATTGTTTGTCTAAGACGTTGTCGTCTCTGCTGCCTGGTTGTTTTCTGAAATTAAAGGCATCATTATTTAGTGTTTTCTTGCCATGTTATAGTTTGAAGAAGTCCAGCTGCAACCGTAACATGACACAAAGCTTCTATTGTACAGTTAAACATGTTCGACTGTTCAGGTGAATTTATTGGTTTATGCTAAATTGGTGCCTTTAAACTTTAAATTGATTAAACCAGAGCTGGTGCTTGCTAGTTTTGATTGATGTTAATGGGTTTGGTATGTTTATATTTATGCTATGTTCAACCTATCTTGGTATCCATCCACCGCGCTTTTACATGCATGTCATTGTACATGGTTTAGTAACTTAAATGTCAGCGCAAAGAGAACGTTGCTCTCCTGTTGGTGAACAATCGGAGCTCCAGTGGTTTGAATCGTGCAAATGTTTTTCTTTCATGTGGTCAGACAATGAATCACTTCAAAATGTAAAAGTACTTCTGTGAAGACAAAACTGAACGTGATGTTACGGCTGTGTTATGCTAAAAAAAGAGTGTAATCCCAATGCTTATTTCCTGGTAATGAAAGTGGGTGACAAACCACGCCTACAAACCAGGTCACCCACATCACCAGCTAATTGGAAACTCCAGTTAAACTTGAGCAGGTGCTCATGGAAAGTTCAGTCCATAAAAACTTTATCCTGAACATTCATTTAGAATGCTGTGAAACTGGCTTTAACATTTGTCTGCCTTTGTTTCTGTCACTGCATCATGTGCAGCTGATGTGTGGTCTTTGAATCCTTCAAGTTTAGAGTATTATTTCTGACTAGTTTGTCCCTCAGCTTGTTGATGGAAACGTCCAGAAGATGATTCCACACAGTGTTCAGGTCTGCTGTGAACATGAGTACACAGATGATGTATTTATCTAAAATGAAACCATTTGTTCAGTGAGCAGTAATTGCAGCTCGTCAGAAGGGGGATTAGTTTGAACAGCTTTAATTCGATTGGTTCAGAGAATGGTGGTTAAATTAGTCACTGGACTTTCCATAATGAGGCTCTTTATTACCGTTACCAGGTCATGGTGAACAAATCGAACAACTGTGTCCAATCTAATAGCACAACAAATGTTTTTTTATTCCAAAAATGTCTCCCTTTTGACATGTTTTTTTCTTTCCAGATCCAAAAAGGGTTGTCTGGTACAAGGACGCCCAGGAGCAGCCGGCCTAGCAGTGTGACGAACCCAAAGCATCCACACGAATACACCACACCAACATGCACATGAAAACACAGAAAAGATGGACAAATTTTGGAGTCCCGCTCACACACTGCACTCAGGATGATGTCTTCACGCAAAGCCACACTGAGACACTTTGGACTAACTCCTTTGAGATCTTACAGCAATGGACTTTTTTAACGCCTTACAGAAAGCCTGCCTTAATTAATCAGACCTCTTTTCATCGCCTCTCATTACCATTTTTAGCTTGTATGTGTAGAACTGATCTTTTTTTTTTCTTCTTCCTTTTTTTTTTTTTAAAAACAATCTCTGAGGAGCTGTAATTTAATTTGTTCCCTTTTGAAAAGCTGCGGTTTTATCAAACTTCTTGTCCTCTGTAAAGCGAGTGGTCAATCAAGCACTTTGTTAAGAAAATTTGTTGTGACCAATCCGTGTGTGCGAGAAGCCCTCCGCAGAGTGATTTATTTCCCCCCCTTCCCCCCAAACCCGTCTCCATTCTAAACCAGGAGAATGTCTTGTTCCTGCTTGAGTTTTATCGTTAATGTATGCAGAGGACTTCTGTATCCGTGTCTTCAGTTTACAGAAGGGTGTAGTCAAAGGCACAGTAGAGTTCACCCTTTACCACGTCAGATCTTAATGCTGTGTTCCTTTTTCTTTGTTTTTATTTGGTCCCTAATCGGGCGAATGTTACTCATGAATCCATAAGGGATGTCACCATGTTCAGTATGTTGATTTTTGAAAAGAATTTATTGAATTAAAAGAATTACACTGGAGAAGGAGGAGGAATGTAAGAGAACAGTATTGCTTAATAAAAATGAATAAACTTGAGGCTCCGTGTTTGTTCTCTTTTATTTACACACTGCTGGTGTTTCTGCTTCACAAACGTTCTCATGTTGTGCCTGTACAAATAGGAGAACACAACCGCAGTAAATCTGCAACACAAAATTATACGCCCCCCCAAAAAAACCTGCACCAAAGACTTTATGGAGAGATTCACCGCAAATGTGGAACCAGTGTGGCCAATAAACATTTGCCCCGGGTCCAATAATAGAATTTCACCAATAAATATGTCCAATAATGTGAAGCCTTCTTATAAAACAACTCCAGATCCAGTTCTCAGTGATTCTCAAGAAGTAAAACCTACTTTCTTTTTTTAGCCACGTCTACAGAGTGAGATCCTCTTTGCATCTACAGCTCAAGAATTGCATCAGCCAAAACAAAACAGTGATTTTAGTTTTTTTTTTTCTTCTATCTGCAATTAAACTCCACATCTTTAGAAGCTCGTGTAAAAATGTCAGCCATCTGAATTTTAAGAAGTGTGGGTTTGGCAATGGAAAAAATTTACACAATCTATCACAATCTGACCTTTTCACCCGCTGGTGTACTGAAAAACAAAAACAGACTTCTTATTTGTGGTGATCCAACCAGGAAACACTGATAACAGCCATAAAAAAGTATTTCTTTAAAAACACAGTATCGCAGCCACCACAGAGTGAAGAACCCCCTCAAGAAGCTTTACAGGATTAGGTGGGCGACATTCTACATTTTTAGTGTCAACAAATCCCAGTGAAAGACCAAAACCAGCGCGTGCATTAGTTTGTCTCACAATGGAGCTTCCTGCTGAAGACGTTAATCTTCTAGAACACATACGGCTAATTTCAGCTGCAGATTAATACATATGGAGTATTTAAGGCAGCAGGATGGATTATAGTAAATAAATGTGTATTTATGATAAACGAGAAGCATGTCACAGCAATGTCTGTGCAATGGACAGGTTTTGGATGCATGTAATGTTGATTTAAAAAAAAACACAACTGATTTGCTGTACGATTGTCAAGTGAGTTTGAAGAGATTTCTTTGAAACGTTCGGCTTGTTGAATAAGCTGTGCAGTGTCGCCTGAGGTTGAAGTTTCAGCGACGTTACACATCAGCTGTAATAAAGAAGCTGGAAAGAAAAGGAGCTGAATGCTAACTGCTAAACAACACAACAGTCTTTAGGATTTTTTTAATGGGGCGAGTTGTAAATATTCATTCAAGTCAGTTGGACATGTTTGTTTCTCTCTGGAGACAAAGACAACAGAAGACATGGAAACAGCTGATCATTCATGTGAAGTGTTTCCATCCATCGACATGTCTAATAAAGGCTCGATGTCTTAAAGCGGCGTTTCGAACAGGATCATCCTTGATTCGGGGCAGCTCTCTGGCAGAACCTGTGGGACGTGAGTAAGTGATCTGCACAAACATAAATACTCTGATCTCACTGAAATCTTGACAAACAGTTTGGTTTCTTACAAACATTATTAACGTGGCTACAATTCAAATGACAAAAATACAACTAAAATACAAAATAACTAAAATACAAATTGTTGCTGGCTGTGAGAGTGTAACATAATTATTCATCAGTGCAGTGTCATAACTACACCTCTGACGTTTATAACAAACCAAACCGTTTGAAAATCGGTAGATAATGGAACAAGTTATGCTTATTTAAAAAGTACATGCACCACTACAACACAATGCCATGAGTGAGCGAGTGTACCGTATCAAGATGGCCGCCAGTGTGCCCGTGCGATTCCATTGGCCGACAGCGCGGACGAGACATCTAGCCTTTATTATATATATCTATGTTTCCATTTGCCAATCTGAGCATTATGCCAGAGGCGGCTTTTAAAAAAGTCAAAAACCACCTCAAGCAAGTGTAAAAATCAGTTTTAATTTCAAAGTCTGCTGTTTGCGTGAACTTTTTCTAATGTGATGCTTCAAAATGCGCATAAAAATGAATGATGGAAACTCAGCTTGTGTTGGTTTTGTTCTTTTTATGGTGTTAACTTGTCAGATCAGGGGGAGCAACACTCATAACGATGGCTGCATTCCACTTAACGGAGGTCCTGCTTTTGTACACTCATGGCATAAACCTACTGGAACTGCGCCATCTTTAATTCCACTTGTGGTTTCTTTCCCTACAGTGACGAGTCCAAAATGTCTGCTGTGAACAACTTGCTGACACTCAGAAAAGCAGAATATCAGCAGACTTACACGAGTAAACTAAACAAGAGCTTTTAAGAAACGTAGAAAATCGCATCAGATGCAGAAGAGCTCAGTCGTCCCTGTAGATGCAGATTTCCTACACCTGACACGTCAGAACAGACCTGCTGCAACAGTACAGTTAAAGCATGATGTCGCTGAGGGCCGTCAGTCTCTCCACGTCACCTCCACCTCGTCTGTTCTGTACCTGCACAGGAGAAACATTAAAGGCTGCTGTGAACGGGTAACACACAGTGACAGCACAGCACGAAGCAATAGCACACACCCTGGCTGATGAATTAGGTCAGCAGGCACATTTATACCACTACAGACCCAATCATTCAATCACAACCAAGCCAGTACTAGGATGGCTGTCGTTTGCAGTGATGATGCACTACAGATGCTGGGTACACAAACATGAAGACAGAGGGTGTAAAAGAAGCAGGAATGTGAAGTCTACCTTTGTGTGATCCATGAGTCTTCCAGCTCCGTCACCTGACCGGATCGAAACATCTCCCAGCCGGCCTGAGCGATCATTGCTCCGTTATCTATGCAGAATCTGTGGCAGGAAACGGTCAGAATGTTATCTGGACCAGGATGCTCCAGGCTGATTACAATCACTGGTTGTTTTAGGAACCCGGCATGTGATGAGAGATGAGAGAAGTTTGGTCTTTTCACATAATTACACGTGTTTGAAACAGATGTTTGTTGTAATGAATGGTGATATTTGAAGAAACA